AAAGATATTATAATTTTCTCTAAGGAGCTACATGTCTGTAGGATTAAGGGCTACTGTGAGAAGCAGGAGGACTTTGAAGTTTTGACAAAATCAAATGGGAGTCTAAACTAGAGCATTAGATAGGCCTGTCACATGACATTTAAGTCAGTATCATCACAGGCTAAGAATGACAACCAGTACTGATGTATGTGTAGATTAAGATGCAGGGGACAGCGGCTCTTGCTTATTCTTGTCCTAAGCCAAAGCTCTAGTTTAGCATCCAGTCCACCTTAGAAATAGGAGAGACTGAGGCAAAATCAGCTCAGTTTGACCCCTTTCCAGAATGTCTTAGTGATATGGGGATACCTACACTGGGTTACCCTAACTCTGCCTGAATTGCCCCATCCTTCACTCCTTGCCCTACCTTGTTAAAACTTCACAAACATGAAAGAGATAAAGAAAGAAGCAGGACTAGTTAAAGGAAGTAGAGTTGAACTATATGCCCATATGCAGCCATAAATCTCTGTGCCCTGGGCCCTAGCCTTGTTTCAATGACAGCCCACCTGTGAGCATGGCATTCCATCATGGTTGCCATGGTAACAGGGGAACCTAGATAAGGAAAAGGGGAAAAAAGAACTGATCCAAGAGCATTTCCAGTTTGTAAAAAGCAGGAGCGTGTAGCAGATGCAAGAAAATAATAAAGATTCTGTTGTTCCTATGATAGTCTACTGTGAATGATAATCCTCCTGTTACAAAGGTATAAAGGAGACCTGTGGATGCAGATGGCAGGGAGACAGGAATTTATAAAGGAAGTATTAATGCAAGTATGAAAGACTAGAACAGGAAAACTCATGGCATCATATAAGCTAAAGAATTCCCCATACCTCTCCCAAACTCTTGCTAAAGACTTAAAAAATTAATTAAGTTTAAAGCATTTTCTTTATAATTATTTAAGTGTTCAATATGTTAGCCCAAAAGTATATTTGATTGGAAATATCAGACATAACACAGTTTTTCAGAAAAATTTATTGAAACACTGGGAATTTTCCCATAGTTTCTACATTTATTCATTAGTGCTTACACATATGAAAAGGCCACTCAGGATACCCAAAATATTCCATTCGGACAATGTGTGTGATCATTTCCTGTTTAGTAAGATACCTTTAAATGACTTCACAAAACTGCAGATGTCACATCAAACTTTCTTGCCTGCTAAATTACACACTCTACCTCCTTAGATCTTTAAATTTATCTGACACCTTAAAGTAAAGCATTTCCTAAAGACTATTTCTTTGTTTTTCTGTTTTTATGTAATATTCTACCTTAAATCAAACACATGTACCTTAAGCAAAATATAAACATGGCATTTTAAAATTTAT